GAAGGGAGGGAGGGGGGAGAGAGAGTGAGGGAGAGAGAAACATTGATGTGAGAGAGACCCATTGATAGGTTGCCTTCCGCATGCCCCCACAGGGGCCTTTTGGTGTTCAGGCTGATGCTCTAACCATTGAGACACTGACCAGGGCTGTTTTTTTTTTTTTTTGTCAAGATGCTTCATAGGTAGTAGCATGTTTTTCCATGGGAAGACATATATTGTTTGATCATCTCTCTTATAATTATACGAACAGTTAATGATGAATGCTCAGATCCTTTGAGTTTCGTAATCTTATATTCTGTTTCTATCTTATTTCATCATTTGTTAACTCTAATATTTCTATAAAGACAAACTTCCTTTCATCTCCCATTTGGTTATCCACATCCACTGATGATTTTACTATTTGATAAAAGCAACCGTAGAACTCTACATGCTCAACAATTTGCATTGGATTAAAGCTTGCTGTGAGAGGAATTAGAGATAAAAACAAAATATTAAAAATGATTTTGCCTAACTGATTTATATGGCATAACTATGTATTGTGTTTAAAACTGATACTTATGCCAGCTCCCTGCAAACAGCAGGATGGTTCAGGAGTTCACTGGAGTGACTTCTCTTTTAAAAAATCACGGTCTTAGATTTTATCCATTTAACAGTGCTTTCACCTGGTAATTGAAATTAGCACTATTGACAGCACGTAAGCTTCCTTTTCTTTCTGACTGCACTTGTATTATTATCATGATAATGACATTTTTATATCTACAGTGAAGTTTCTTGCTAAAATACCTCAGAGGATCTCACTCATTTATATTGCAAATAAAATACTAAAAATCCTAGTGCCCTTCTTTTGTCTTGAATTAAATACACTTTTATTCTTAGTTTGATTTTTCCCTGTCGTATGAGAAGCAAGACCTCAAAAATCTCTTGTTATTCTGCTTATGTCTACCTTAAGTAAAAAAGATAAGTTGTATTCAATGATTGAATTCGAAACAGTGCAATCAAAATTAAATATAAATTGTATTAACAACAGCAACAAAATCTTTGACTCTTAAGAACACTGAGTCAGTCAGTGGGCTATGTATATGTATATGTATGTGTCTGAGTAAATTTAGGAGAGTCCTAATAGAGAGATAAACTGTGCTAACCCAGGAACTGGGCAGACATAGGTGGTTGATGAGGCGATTGCCCACAATAACACAGAACAGTCTATGAAGATGCTTTAGATTAGATTACCTAATTTTGATTTCCACATTGTAGACAGAATTAGAAAAACTGGAGTGTATCCAAAGGACAACAATGACAATGACTAAATAAAATTACAACCTAAAAAGAGAAGGTAAAATTTATTTCTTCCTGAGGGGAGACTCAGAAGAAGCCTCTCTCCTTTTTAAAAAAATTATTAAATATTTTTATTGATTTTTAATTTTTGTTAATCCTTACCTGAGGCTATTTTTCCATTGATTTTTACAGAGAGTAGAAGGGAGGGGGCAAGACAGTGAGAGAAACATCTATGTGAGAGAGGGACCAGGGCCAGGGATCAGGCCTGCAACTGAGGTACATGCCCTGAACCCCGGTACATGCCCTTGACTGGAATCCAACCCAGAACCCTTCAGTCTAAGGCTAATGCTCTATCCACTGAGCCAAACTGGCTAGGGCCAAATATTTTTATTGATTTTTAGAGAGAGAAGAAGGGAGAAAGAAACATCAATGTGAGGGGGAAATACTGACCAGCCGACTCCTGCACACCCTCTATTGGGGATCGAGCCCTGCAACCTGGGTATGTGCCCTGACCAGGAACTGAACCGGCAACCTTTTTCTTTTTCTTTTCTTTTATTTTTTTATTGCTTAAAGTATTACAAAGAGTATTACATATGTCTCCTTTTTTTTCTCCCCTTGACCTTCCCCTGGCCTCCCCTACCCCCCAGTGTCTTGTGTCCATTGGTTATGCTCAACCTTCCCCGGACTTCCCACGGTAGTTTGACAGTCTTGAACCGGCAACCTTTTGGAGCATAGAATGATGCCCAACTAACTGAGCCACACCAGCTAGAGCTCCTTAGTTTTGTTTTTGAAGATTTGTTATCATGAGGCCTCTGACCCTCTCCCTTCTAGTCTTCAGTGCACAGAAGAATGTGGTTCTGAACTGGGAGTCAGGAAGCCCTAGGGGACCTAGAGTATGGCTAGAAGTTCTTGAATCCCAGTCTACCAGTTCTTGTCTAAAATGGCATTATGCCTTATACATAAATATGCTACCATTTTCCAAACATGTACAGATATAGTTGTGGGTAGTAAAGTGTAAAATCTCATAAAATGTTATTAAATTTACAGCTTATTTTTTTTTCATCATGGATTTTCTCAGGTCAGGGATGGTAGTTCTGAAATTATTTTGCAGCTTAAGGAGATCCGCATGGGAAACCACTGGTATGGAACAAGAGAAATGATGCTACATTGACAGGTGAAGTAATGAAGTTGCTGCCTAGAGCAAGTTGGAGCAACTCAGCAGATTCCTGGGGTTTTGCTGTGGAGCCGACTGTGCTCACAGTAGAGTGGAGAAGTGAAGACATTCTGACTGCAGCTGCCGCCTGCTTCTGCCATTGACTGTACCCCTAAGTGAGACTGGCCCACTCCACTCTGCCACAAGCTGGAGCCCAGAGAAGGCATGGGGTCATAGCAGCTTCTCCACAGAAGACATCTTGCCTTGCTTTCCTTCAATTCAAATAGAGCCCTTTGGGAAGTGATTGTCTGGGGCCTCTCTCATCTCACATGCACCACAGACTCTGAGCCAGTATGACAGCAATTGGCCTCTTGATCTTATCAAGAGTGTGCACAGGCATCACAGCCAACTGATCAGAATTGGCATTTCACTGGGAACCAGTTTGCCATTCCTATATTCTATGGAGAAAATAGATGACAAATGATCACACCATGGATCAGCTTAGGAAGGGTGGAACGGCTGGTTTATCTAAAAATTAGAGAGTAGTCCTTCCTTTCTCTACCCCCAGCCATCTTGGCAGCTGCTCCTGTTTGGAGGCCATCCTGCACCTAAGGCAGGAAGATGGTGGCCACAAAGAAGGTGAAAAAGGCGCTGAGTTGATCAACTCTAGGCTCCAACTTGTTCTGAAAACTGGACAGTACATGCTGGTTGTACAAGCAGACTCTGAAGCTTATCAGACAAGGCAAAGCAAAACTGGTCATCCTTGCCAGCAACTGTCCAGCCTTGAGGAAATTTGAAATAGAGCACTATGCCATGTTGGCCAAGCCTGGTGTCCGTCTCTACAGTGGCAATGATATTGAATTGGAAAATACTACAGAGTGTGCACACTACCTGTCATTGACCCAGGTGATTCTGGTATCATTAGAAGCATGCCAGAACAGACTAGTGAAAAGTAAATCATGCAACATTTTTCTTTAATAAAACTGACCAGAGCTTGGTTTAAAAAAAAAAAAGAGGGTAATGACTGGACAATATTCAACACAGGCAGAGACATGATTTTTAGTCCCCTGAGAATGGTATGCAATTTCTGTCTCAGGAGATCTTTAAAAATAGAAGATAATAATGTGTTCTTACCTGAAGGCAGGAACCCGATGTAAATACCTTCTCTAGCTTATCATTTTCCTGGTGCTTTGATTTCATAAACTATTTGGGTTTCTTATTTTTATTTAAACCACCAGAGCTTTGCTTTAGCAGTTTATTACTGAATTTTGTTACTTCTCCCTTTGGGTAATTGCTTTCTTGGATGTCATTGTACATTCTATGAACAGATATGAAACTGACATCTCAGAAGGTGTTACATTTCTCCTGTTTTTCAGAGGCAAAATCTGTGTAAACTGCTCTTTTAGTTACTGGGTTTTGACAAATTTTCAGTAAGTTATTGCAGCATTTTATATTATTTTTTTCCTGGTTTTAAGAGGCTTCAAAAAAATTAATCAGATGAAATTAAACAGAAGTCTCCTGAATTAAATACTCCATTTATAACTAGCAGTAAATTAAGTTTTCACAGATACTTGTTCTAGGAATTAGGACTTTAATTCTGTGTACATTAATCCCTGATTGTTCCATTAATTTAAAAAGCTTGTTTATCCAAACAAAAGTCTCGAGATATGTATTCTTTTATAATTTTAAATATTACTTGTGTGTTTGTAGCATTTTTTTTTACAGATTTTTAAATCAGAATACCTTGAGGATGTTGAAATAATATAGTTTTGGAATTATTAAATTTTGGGTTATCTACATAACTCTCTTCATAGTGGGTGTAAATATTTAAGATATATTTTTAAAAATCACATTTTGAAATTCCACTTTTTTGGTCTTAATGGACTTCTGGATGAAAGGTGTTACTGTACAGGCCAGCCCTCTGAGTCAGTGGGAGAGGGCTGTCCCCAACCTCGATCCTTATCTTCTCATATAAATGAATTTATACAAGACCCTGACTGCATTGTGAAAAGCCAATTGATTAAAGCATGCAACCTTTATTGAAAAAAGCAAAGCAAGCAAACCTGAACATCTGGGTCATGAAACACAGCAGGCTCTAGCTGATCGACGAGCAGATTGGGAGGGGGTCCGAGGCATTGTATACCCTCCTATCTATAGGTCTTAAAATTCCTCTGCCAAATATTTTGATACAAATTAATTCTCAAGGTCCTCTTTTTTTACTTCGTTATGGCATTTCCAGAAATCATGAGAAGCACCTGACAACTATATTTTGCCAAGCCTTGAGACTGCTGGCTTTTCTGGGAGTAAAATTGTCCTCTCTCCCCCTCCCCCTTTCTGCATTCTCTCATTAGGGAGGTTTTTTAACTATTTATTCTGTGTCCTTGGCTCCTTGGCTGGGGAAGATAATGGTTTGTTAGTTACAAACTGGTTGCAGATTACCCACACTATTTGGCCTTGTTTTAACTTTCCTGTCTCAGTTTCCATATTCCTCCTGCCCTGGAATTTTGTAACAGCTATACATATTTTAACACTTGTATCTTTTAACTTTTACATTAAAGTTAAGCAATTTATACACTACCATTAGAATATTAGAATATTCTAATTATTCCTTTAACAGTGAATTTCATATATTTAGGTCTTCAGGTTACTAATTATTGTCCTTTCATTTCAGTTTGGAGAACTCTAACATTTCTTGTTAGGCAGATCTAGTGGTAATGAACTCCCTGAACTCTTGTTTGAGACATTCTTTATTTCTCCATTTCTGAAGGAGAGCTTTTTCAGATTAAGTATGCTGGGTTGGCATGTTTTTCTCTTTCAGCCCTTTGATTATATCATCCAACTCTTTCCTGATCTGCAAAAAGAAAAAAAAGAAATCTGATTATTGACTAATGGGTTCCCTTGTATGGAAGGAACTTATTTTCTCAAGGAGGATTTTTTTTTTTCCTCTATAGTCTGAGTAACACATGAAAATAGAAACTGACATGATATGCTTTCTCCCACTGCCTTTCCTCTGGACAACTGGCTTATCTGCTTGTTGAAGCATCTTCCTAGTGTTCAGGGTCCACTCCATGGAAATTTGTTTTAATAACATCATAAGTTGTACATGTTGGACTAGCTTCCATCTGAAGAGAAGAAACCAAGGTTTCATTGGCAATTAGAAAAACCTATTTCTGATTGCGAGTTTAAAAACTTTCTTTGCCCTGGTTGTTGCCTTGAATAGCATATCTTCCATCAGTTCTGGTCAGTAGGTGTTTGGTATAGTGAATGTTCTATTTGTGCCTTTGATAGCCTGCAATTCCTTAGTATTATTTAATCCTGTAAGTAAATATTAAGCTCTGTATGTCAGCTACTGAAAACAAAGATTCTGAACGTCATCACTGTCTTCAAGGATTTCCCTATCCAAAGGGGGAAATAGGAACAAAGTAAACTAAAATGTGATGTGTGTCAGCGCTATAAGTGGTGTGATCACAGAGCATGTATCACTCTACCCTCGAGGAGTGTGTGTTTATGTTTCTAACATCCTAGTAGTTTTATCACTCTTAAATGTTTATGTCAGGGTTCACAGTTGATATGCGCTTTCAAATGTAGCTGTGTTGTGTTAACTGCATTTAGTTAATGTTTTCAGGGAAAGACAGTATTTCACCTTCGTTTTACCCCACAGAACACATTAATGAGGTATTTTGTCAAGACTAGCAGCAGTAGTTTTTGAGGGCTTCTTAGGCACTGGATGCTGAGCTGTGTGCTGAGGGCATGCAAAGTTTTAAAGCACAGTTCCTCCTTTGAAAGGCACAGTCTTCTGCAGGAAGTAACATTTAGAGAGAAGAAAAATGCAATTCAAAAGCAACTTAAATTTCTGCAGGGTTCTATAGTTTTAAATGTGCCTTCACGTGTATTCTTTTTGATAAACCTGTTGGGCAGATTATTGGAAATACGTACTTTATGATTAAGAAATTTTAGTGGCTTTCCACAGTTATACCAGTGAAGTGTGCCAGAGACAGCAATTGAAGCCACCTTATTTTAATCAGTAACTCTTACCTTAACTGAGTAGTTCTTGTGGAAATCAGATGAAAAGTCTTTATGAGCCCAGTCCAGACACCAAAAGACTACATCAGGATTTGGTGTGCAGCACAGAAATGAAGTCAGGGCTGGGCCAAGACCAAATGCTGAGCAAAGAGCAAAAATATGAAAGTTTGAATTGAGAAAAACCCAAGAAGCAGAATCTAAAGGGAAATCTGAGTAGAGAGATGTTAGGGATTTTGTGCAAAGACCATGGGAAACTGGGAATTTGTGAGGGCAGCTTTCAGCGCAGCCCAGTTGTAAAGTCTTTTTTGAAGGCTGTCTGGTCTTCCAGGTACATAACATCCTGAATCTAAATTTTAACAGGATTAGTAAGGTGTAAGGACGCTTATTTGTATTTTGCATGAATTACACAAGTCGTGTGATATATGGCTGGTCCTATTTCATGCATTTTAATTCAAAGGTTTATATTTTAGAGCCTCATTTTGAACTTTGTAATTGATGAAATATTCTCTGTCACATTTCAAGTGCTCAGTAGTCACATGTGGTTAGTGGTCAACATATTGGACAGAATGGTACACATAATTCTTTTTTAAAAATGTATTTTTAAAGTAATATATGCACATGTAAAAATATTGAGTTTTTAGAAAGTAAAAAATGGAAAGTAAAGTGTCTTCCCCTGTCTTTCTCTCAATCTCTATCTCTTTCTCCAGTGGTTTTCCCTATTAAAACTCTTTCCTTTCAGGAAAAAAATGTCCACCAAAGTTTTATATGTATATTAGAGGCCCAGTGCACAAAATTTGTGCATGGGTAGGGTCCCAGTGGCTGCCTTCCTTCGTTTCACACCACCCCCTGGTGGTCAGCGCACATCTAACTCCCGGTCAGTCGAACTCCCGCCGGTGGGGACAATTTGTATATTAGTCTTTTATCATATAGGATGCTTTTTATAAATCACAATAATTGACTATACTAGGTAGGCTGTTTTACATTTTTTAAATAAAATTAAAACTCTGTCTTTGATGTCTTGATGAAGTAATACATTTAGCTTTAACTCCCTGTTTTAAGGTTTCCTTGGTTGGAAATGGAATTTACTCATTCCGTATTCTAGTCTTTCACGTTGTTCCCTTTCTCCCTTTTTTTTCTGTTTAAATAGTGCTCTAATATATACATGACCATTGTTGTGTATGTTTGTAGGGAAGATTCCTATCAGTGCAATTGCTAGATGGTCCTTCATGACAAGTGCTGTTTCTAAGCAAGGAAGGAGTAGAGAATCTGGAGTGAGGGTAGGGCATAAACAACAAAGACTGGTAGAAAAGGGAGGCAGAGACAAAATAAAGATAAACTCTGGCTGTGAGAAAAGATCATAAATATCTGTATAAATAGTCTTAAGGGTTGCCTTTAAGTTTATTCAGTGCCATCCTTCCTGGGAGTACTTAAGAAAAATGTTTTAAATGTCAGTGTATTTCATTGCAAATATATATATATTTATGTATATACATATGTATTTATGTATATACTACATGTATATACTGCTATTGTGTTTGGTTTTATTATAAAGATATTGCATATTTATTATATACAGGTTGGAAAATGTAAGAAAGTATAAATCAGAAAACAAATTTCACCCATACTCAGAGAAAACCAACAATAATACTTTAACATCTTATTTCTGTGTATTCGTTTTTACATAGCTGAGATCATATTGTACATACATGTGTTTATATCTAAACTTTCCTCTGCTTATCATCTTAATCTTGTTGATTTTCTTTTATTACTCTTTTCCTGTTTTTTTTTTAGGTAATAGAAACCTTACATTGTTTTGGATCATATTGTACATACATGTGTTTATATCTAAACTTTCCTCTGCTTATCATCTTAATCTTGTTGATTTTCTTTTATTACTCTTTTCCTGTTTTTTTTTTTAGGTAATAGAAACCTTACATTGTTTTGGAATGAATTTGGATACCAGAATAACAAGGACACAGAGAGGTCTTTAGAGTCTATTCAGTATCAAAGAAGACAAGCCATGGCCATCCCATTCATCATTCAGTGTGGTGAGTGTTGAATTCCATTCAAATTAGCAATCATTTAGTGAGTTTTTAAATATGCAACTCATTGTGCCAGTAAATGGTGTGTGAAGGAGACAAAGGTGGTGGGTAAAACCTGATTTTTACATGCAGTGAGGTTAGAGTCTAGGAGAAAGGTTAAGATAAGCATGAAATTATAGAGATGAAATTCAGATGTAAAAGATGATGTAAAGAGGCACAAAGTTCTATGAGGGTTCAAAAAAGGAGGAAGTTGAGGCAAGGCTTCATGACAGAGGTAGCTTTTGCCATGATCTTTAAAATAGAATTTTGATAGGCAGAGATGTAGCAGGAGATATGTGTTAATATCAGATATACATTCAGCTAAAAATTTAGGGGTGGAATGATATAAACAGTCATCTTTCTTTTTTTTTAATTCTTTATTGCTTAAAAGTATTACATATGTCTTCTTTTTCCCCATTGACCTCTCCTCGGCCATTCCCACCCCACCCCACCCCAGCACATGCCCTCACCCCACTACTGTCTGTGTCCATGGGTTATGCTTATATGTATGCATACAAGTCCTTTGGTTGCTCTCTTAACACCCCCCCCCCCACTTCCCTGCCTTCTGGTTTGTTCGATGCTTCTATGTCTCTGGATCTATTTTGTTCATCAGTTTTTGTTGTTCATTATATTTCACAAATGAGTGAGATCATGTGATATTTATCTTTCTCCAACTAGTTTTTTTTTCCGCTTAGTATAATGCTCTCCATGTCTCTCCATGCTGTTGTGAATGGTAAGAGTTCTTTCTTTTTTACAGCAGCATAATATTCCATTGTATAGATGTACCACAATCTTCTAATCGACTCATCTGCTGATGGGCACTTAGGCTGTTTGCAAATCTTAGCTATTGTAAATTGTGCTGCTGTGAACATAGGGGTGCACATATCCTTTCTGATTGGTGTTTCTGGTTTCTTGGGATATATTCCTAGAAGTGGGATCACTGGGTCAAATGGAAATTACATTTTTAACTTTTTGAGGAAACTCCATTCTGTTTACCGTAGAGGCTGCACCAGTCTGCATTCCCACCAGCAGTGCAAGAGGGTTCCTTTTTCTCTGCATCCTCTGCAGCACTTGTCGTTTGTTAATTTGTTGATGATAGCCATTCTGACAGGTGTGAGATGGTACCTCATTGTTGTTTTGATTTGCATCTCTCTGATGATTAGTGACTTTGAGCATGTTTTCATAAGTCTCTCGGCCTTCTGTATGTCCAGTTTCAAAAAATTTCTGTTTAGGTCCTTTGCCCATCTTTTGATTGGATGTTAATCTTCCTTTTGAAACAGCCATCTTTCTGTTTTTAATACCTAGTACTGTGCTAAATATATAGTTGGTACTTAATAATTGACTACTGAATACATGAATGATGACTAAATAATAAAAGACAAAAATATCAGATTAAATAAACATGTTAGAGGGTCTCGAATGCCAAGATAAGGACTTTTTACTTTGATAAGCAATGGAGAGGCATTGGACATTATTTGATAG